GGGTTGGGCAGTGCAGGATGTGCTGGTGAGGCACCAGAGCTGGCTCCCTGCCACCAGTTTGATACCTTGACCCGTGAGCTGCTGTACATTGCACCAGTTTGACCTGGCTCTTTCAGCTGTCGTGTTATTAGCAATCCTTCACCACACCTCTAACCGAGCGCCAGAGGGGAAGGTGTTGGTGTAACCTGAGTAAAGGATTACAGCCTGGGTTAGTCCTCAGCTGGTTGTTCATTAATGATCTTCAGGGCCAAGATCTGCTTCTCCACTGCTTCATGCCTGGAATGGGATCCTTGCCACAGGAGTCCCACAAAAGATGAGTGAGTTGTAAGGAAAGAGAATACGTTTTCCTATTATGCCACTGAAGTTTTGTCTTGCTTCTCCACAGGCACCGCCTAGGACCCTTAGACCTCGCTTCAGGAAGAAAAGTACCTCGTCCTCTGCCACTGAAACAATGTGAGTGCAATGAGCCAATAGCACCAAGATCCACAGAATGTCTCTCTTCTGCCTTAAAGAGCTACTCGTTAATAATGTAGGAAACAGCAGTGGGATGGATGTGCTTTGATGTCCAGCGTTGTAGACATGGCCTTTCTCTCTCCCCTCTCCGTGTCCCTCTGTGCCGCGCTGCTCCTGTTGGTCCGTGACGTGGGTAGGACAGTCTGGCACACACACACACCTGCAGGTGAGGGGTCCTGGTTTGGTTTGCAGAGTGTGCACCCACCCACCCACCCACGCTGTACCTTTACGATTTCATTTGTGTCTGCACAGCTCTTGCTCTGTGAATGCACAGTGGAAACAACAATAATCAGTTGCTCATGATGATACATTGACGGTGTATTTATTTATGGCTTTATCATTGATGAAGTGGATTTGCAGAACCCATGGATTTCTCTTTCCTCCCTTCCTCCTCAAGACTGTGAATGATGTAACAAATGTCAAAGTGCTTTGACTGTACAAAATATCCAGGATTCTTTAGCGTTTCTGTTTCTGCAAGTCAATCGTGTGCTCTGAGAAAATCATTGTGCTAAACCCACAAAGACAAAACCACTTACAGAGGATGAGGAAGAGATGTGCAAGAGAAAAGAAATGGTTTCAACGATGTAATGAAGGGGGAGTCTTAATTTTGATCAGCCTGAGCCAGGAGAGTATTTTGTGGAAAACGACGGCTGGTAGAAGAACTAGATCCCACCGCTTGTGGCCAATGTTCTGCTTCCACTTTTAAAGTGTGGGCAAGCCAGGCATGTGCCAGTTGCAGCCACGGATGTTAGAATTGCTCTAGTGATGCATTTCCAGGGGAAAACAAACCTTTCCTCCCCTGCTGCAGCAGTGCCATTCCCAGCACTCTGCTCTCCTGGTGAGGGGCTGCTGTTCCGCTTGAACGAGCAGAGGAGGGCGCTGGGTCTGAGCTGCTTCTTGAAGCCTGGAGTTTCTCCTGTAGCATGGGGTTTGGTTAGAACCACGAGAACCAAGTGGAGTGGTGTATTTGTATCCATATATAAATGAGACATAAAAGAAGAGGAAGACGTGGTAGGGTTTGTGTATTTGTGCTTCAAGTTGGTGTCTCTTGTAAGTGTTAAGCATGTGAGATTCACACATAATTTAATTAACGTGGCCCTTTGTGTTTGCTCTTGGACCTGTCACATAGACTAGAAAAACATTTAGCATTATGTTAGGATGTGCCATCACCAGTGGGTCAGCACACGGGCTCCGTGGTGAACACTGCTCATGTAGGTCAGGTGCTGCAGCCCAGGATGGAGCATGTCAGGCTCAGAGAGAACTCTGAAGTGGCCTTTGAAACCTTTCCTGTCCACTGGGTCCCTGAGGTCTCCCCCACAGCTTCCTACATGTGTGGGGAAGAAAGGAAGATATTAATTACGTGCACACACAAATGTGTGTCTGACCTGGCTAGGGAATGGAAGAAGCAAGCAGGTATTTCCTGTGTCTGCCACAGTATTTGGCCTCATTACCTGAGAATTTTATTTCCTTTACATGTGCTGATTCAGTCATATTTTGCAATGTACAAGAAGGAAAAATTCTTCAAAAAGTAAACCAACAAAGCTGTCTAAGTAGCAGTTACAGAAGAGTCAGTTACAGAAGAGTCAGTCCTTGGAAGATACTCAGCAAAAGCTTTGAGGAGCTAAGCTTGTGTATTTTGTTTTTAAGCAGCTTTAGAGTTTATTTGATTTCTTTTGGCAAACAATAAAAATAAATAGAAAAACTGCCTGCACTGTTAGCAGAAAATAAAATCCTGTTGCAAGCAAGCCATGTTTCCCTGCTATGCAATGGGCTGCTGTAAGATATAAAAAAAGAAGCTGACAAGTTTGCACTCAATTATGCCAAATAACCCCAGCAACATAGAGCTGCGTAACATCTGACAAGTTCTAATCTCAGACACGCTGTATTGACATCGATTCTCACTAAAACTATTAAATGTGCGTCTAATCTGCTGTTTTACTGTAAACTCGACTGTTTAGCATTTCTTGAATGCTGAGGTGAAATGTTGTCAAGGGAGTTGCCTTATATCTCTCAAAACATTCACTGTATAAATGAGAAAAATAAACCTTTTCATATCTCTGGCAAAAATGTATCAGTTTATCAGCGGAGCTGTATATTTGTGTACAGACAGACAGACGTGTCGATGCCTGACCACGTGCACTTGTGCTCCGGTGTTCTGTACAGACCAGAACGGCCACTCGCTTTGGATTCCTCACCCTCCTCACGCAGGTTGTTTACAGGTCTTTCCCCAAGTCTGTCATTTCACCCCTTGGCTACGAGGATAAACAACTCCGGAGTTGAAGTCTTTTGTTCCAGTTTTTCTCTGGAGCCTCTGCCAAGGAATGAGACGGATTCCAGCGAGTTGCCTTCCTGCGCTGCTGCTGACCCCTCCTGGCACACCGGGGTGTGCAGGACCTGGCAAGGAGAGAACGCAGGGATGGTTGGATCGATGCATGCATGGATGGATGGGGACAGCAGTTCTTAGCTCCCTCCCAGCTCCAGCTCTGAGGGTGTAGGCCAGCTGACCACTTCCAGATGCCTCCTCCGAAAATCAAGCAATCTTTCATCAGATGGTTTGAAATAGCAACAAGTCTGGGCTGGGTAAAGCCAACCCGGCTTTGGGGCCTTTCAGGCAGCTGGCCCCTACCATCAGTCCCATAGGGCAGGCAGGCACCTCCTGATGTCTCAGAGAAGGCCGGGAGAGTGGAATCCTTCTGAAGGGAAGAGGACAGCCCGTGGAAACTGCATTTACCCAGCTCAAGGCTCCAGTGAAATGTTTGTTATTTTGAGCATGTAAAATCAAGGCTGAGGGGAAGGAAAGTGCAGCTGAAGATGGTCCATGATAAACAGGCCTGTGGATTACCTCACCAATTCACCATAAACCCACTCGGTTATGAAGAGAATGAAGCTCAGAGCAGCCCAGTGCAGCCCTCCGTGCCTCCTCTCCTGCCATGGGGGCCAGTGTCAGCGCAGCTCCAGCGGTCACCAGCTGCCGAATCGGGATCACATCCAACACAAGACACACTTCTCGGGTGTCAGCCCGGAACAAATCCCACACTAACCTAAATTACAGAAGTGCAAACCCAGCACGGAAGGAATCAGGTAATTTATTCCTGCCAGGAGGGGGAAAAGCTGCTTGGAGAGAGACGATGCTCCTCCTGTAAACAACCTGCCGCCTCTGGCTGCTCCCTGACGCGTCCCCGTGTCGTGGTGAACCCTCGTGACCGAATGCTCGTTACCCACAGTCTCCTTTTTGCTGTTAGTTTCGGGTCCCCTTTTTGCATCCAGCACCGTATTTGAACTAGCAGAGAACACTACGTTGGGATTTGCGTTTAGACAAACTATTTAAGGCTCATAATTGTGCACTTGGTGTGATTTTTCTTTCCTGTGGTGGGTAGAAAAGGTCTGGTGATGCAATGGTACACACTCGATGCCTCACAAGGACAACAGTATTCCAAAGGTTGATGTTTTGCTGGTTTTGTTATACTGCTTGATATACATCTTGAATAAAGTCTTAATCTTTTCTTTATTAAAAGAAACAAAAAACATCTTTAGTCTGTTCAACGTATCTGGCAGGCCAGAATAATTCCTTTGATCGCTGTATTATTTTTATCTCAATTCTGGCTGACTGTATATAGATGTATTCACTAAGTGCTGCATGTCCTCCAGAACTTTCTGTATCATGAACTGGAAAAAGAACAAAATACAGCTACTGAACACTCTGAGTAATTAGTGAATTCATTGAAATGCTACACCCTTGTACAGCAAACCACCCCTTGCTACACAGGCAGCTCTGGGGCTGATAACCAGAGACTGACTGCTCGGTAATGGGTTAACTGTCAGTCAGTGTTTTGAAGCAAACACTTCTCATACACTTTCTGCAAGTGAATCTCTGATGTATCCTGCAGCAAACCCAGCCCAGTTTCTTTGCACACTCCAAAAGGACCCTCACTCTAATTAACCCTTGGGTTTGTTCCATTTATGTCTGACCAGGAATATGAATTGTGAGCTGTAGTTAGGCTTAAAGGAAGAATAAACAAGAAAATACTCAGACTTGCCTGCTTGAGGATATCGTGCAGGACCCAAAGAATATGTTCTACTACTCAAAAGCCTACACAGAACACAAAATGTGAGTCCTGTAATGAAATTTGGTGGCCAATGCATTTTAAAATCAGTTATAACCATGAAACTCTGGGGTTTGGGCTTTTTTCTCTGCGCTCTTCTAGTAACATGGACACAGGGCAAGTTTATCTGGTATCATGACAGGCAACAGTGCTAAGATGGACCCTGCTCTCCTTTCTCCTGTTCCCCCAGGAGACTACACTTAGTGAGACACCAATTGGTATGGACACAGCAAAAAAGATCCCGGGGTTATTTAGACATATTTCTTCAAATAATTTAAGATTAAATATGTTAACTTATTCACACAATCACAGGAAACCACCAAACATCAGAACACGCAGGTGACCGGCCTGACTTTCTCTAAGTAAAACACAAACCGCAGCTGGAGAGAATCCTGGACATTCCTTTATTTTGGGCACTGACTCCCATAATTCCGCTCAGATGATGCGCACATGTTTATTTAGCAAAGTTACAGGCACTGCAGATCAATGTTCCAACATCCAGACCGTGGGCACAGGACCAAGCCCCCTTCCTTCTTACAGAGGTGCAAAAACCAACCCGAGGTTTCTACACCTGAAGATTCGTGCGATCGTGATACTTCTGGTAGGGATCATCAACGTACCAGTTCCTCCTTCTCCAGAAGGAAGTGGTCATTTTATCCAGGAGTTTACACTGTGTCCTGTTGCACAGCACGAACTCCCTCAGACGCTTCCTCTGGGAAGCCGACTTCTTCCACAGTTTCTTCTTGTAACCAGACTGTCAGAAGAAAAAACACACACGTAGAGGAAAAAAAACAATGTTTTTTTAAGTAGGTCACTGCAAATACACACACACACACACACACACGGCCACACTGCTCAGCACAACAGGATAAATCCCTCGCTTTCAGGAAAACGGGAGTCTCTCTACAGAGCTTTTTTTAACTTCCCTACCAGCTACTGCCCTCCAAGGGAAGGAAAACAATTACACTTTACCCTGACTTTACCCAAAAGAAAGTCTCACCTTTCTCCTAACCCAGAGGCCGTTGTGCAGTCGGAGGAACCTTTTGACAACGGATTTCACGCTTTTCCTCTTCCCTTTCCGTACGCCGTAGTAGGTGAGAGTCCTCGCTGGCTGCTGGAGTATACTTGGAAGTAGAGGTGTGACACTGAAGAAGAAACACCCCCAAAACAGGGGGAAAAATAGAACAGGAATGAAACATCTTTTTCTAAAAGTAATCACCGTGCTTTTCACATAAGGAGAGATCAGAAGGGACTGTGGCTTGTGTGAAGGTTAACAAGGACCCATCTGACATCACAGCACAGCACCTAATGACTGAGGAACAGTAACTGCAGGGCTGGAGTCTTGGCAAAATTGAGCTCAAAGTTACTGTTCCACACAGAACACCTTTTTTTTTTCTTTAAATATACTAACAGCAGTGATACACTGAAGCACGAACATTCAGCTGTTACTGGGATTCAGAAATTCCTTTTGGAACATTAATTGCAGAACAGCTCAGGTTGGAAAGGGCCTCTGGAGATCACCTAGTCCAGCCCTCAGCAGCAGCAGGAGAAACAGCAGTCATTACCACAAGACTAATTGTAAATTGGGCTGCAGAGTATGTCACATTTCACCTCCTGCTTCAAGCACTAACAGTACAGGAGGGGGAAGCTCAGGGCCAACACAGACCTGCTGCTGAGTGCAAAGGTGCCCGAGTGTCTCAGACAGATGTATATTGTACGTATGTGCAGGCTGGGGTCAGTCTCTTCTCCCAAGAAACAAGCACTAGGGCAAGAGAAAATGGCCCCAGATTGTGCCAGGAGAGGTTCAGGTTGGATATCAGGGAAAATTTCTTCCCTGAAAGGGTTGTTGAGCCTTGGAAGAGGCTGCCCAGGGCAGTGGTGGAGTCGCCATCCCTCGAGGCATTTAAAAGCTGTGTAGATGTGGCACCTGGGGACATGGGTTAGTGGTGGCCTTGGCAGTGCTGGGTTAATGGCTGGACTTCATGATCTTAAAGGTCTCTTCCAACCTAAATATTCTATGATTTCATCATATTCATATATTACATTATACTTTTATATAAAATAATATATATTATATAAGCATATATAATATATATACAAATGGATATATTTCATCAAATATTTATCCATTTAAAATAATAGGCCGTAAATATGCTTAAAATAGTTCATATGCAAATAGGTAAAACATTTTTAAATACCTAAATGAGTAATTTATATATATAAATGCATATATATATATAATATAAAAAGTGTATACAAATGTATAAAAGTATATAAATGTAAACCCCATATATATACATATATATATACATACATATATATACATATAGATATATACACATACATATACATACATATATACATACAAATATAACATATATAAATATATAAAAGTGTTTAAATGTATATATATACATATATATACGTATATACATATATGTACACACATATACACAGATGTAGATACATATACAGATTATCTATCTATCTATCTATCTATCTATCTATCTATCTATCTATCTATCTATCTATCTATCTATCTAAACTGCCCCAGATAAACACATAAAACACCCTTAAGAGAAGCGGATATTTTGCAGGATGGGGAGGCCGTGCAGCGGTACCTGCTGATCACCGAGGGTGCCGCTGCCCGGGGCCGGTTCCCTTCCAGCAGCCGCGGTGCCCAGAGCGGGGCCCGGAGCGGGGCCGGGGCCGGTCCGTGCCCGGCACACCGTGCGGGGAGGGCGGAGAGCGGGAGCGCCCGGGGGGCCCAGCGCCGCAGGATCCCTGGGGGGGACACGGAGAGACCCTCAGCACACACTGTGACAGCCGGACAACACACACAACCAACCCCCCGCTCCCAAACACCGCCCAGCACCGACACGGACCCGCCAGCGCGCCCCGAGTCACCGCCAGCGCCATGGCCGCGATAGCCGAGCCGGGCGGGGCCGCGCAGGGACCGCCCACGGGCAGGGCCGGGGCTGCTGAGGGGCCGCGCCGGGCTCCACCCGCAGCTCGGGACCCGCAGGAGCGCGGGGGTGGAAGTGTCCCCGCCGCGTTCCCAAATCAATCGCGAGCACCCGTTCTGGTTGTTCTGGCCTGGCGCACTCTCTCCTCCCGTTTTAAAGACTATATAAAATCGCTCGTAAACGTCTCTAGTAAAATGCCCGCTCAAAAGTGGATTTAGCTTATTATTTGTGAACGGCACTGATGTATTCTAAGGTGTTTTATTGTTTGTTGTTTTTTTTTTTCCCGTTCAGAAATCCGGGCGGGCCGGCTGGAGAATGGGAATGGCTCCTGAAGGTTCTGAGGGAGAGAAGGTTTAATGAGCCGTTTGAGGGACCTGTGAAAGACTGCACCTGTAAATTGTGAATAAATGCTACGAACTGTGCTGTGGTACATCTGTGTTACGTTCAGATTTGGCTTTTTTTTTTTTTTCCCTTTCTTTTTAGGAAAGTTTCTTTGTTACAACGCAGAAAAGCCGTCTGGACGCAATCCTGTGCAATGTGCGCCGGGATGACTCTGCGGGAGCAGGGAGGCGGGAACAGGTGACCCGCTGTGGACCCTTTCCACCCTGAGCCGTTCTATGGTTCTGCGGTTTTTATTTTTTTTTATATTTAATTCACTCTGTCCCTGACACTGACGGCCCCAGGAGCGCGGGCATCCCGCGCACGCGCACCCTCCGCGCGCCGGCGTCTCGCGGCCCCTTCCCCGCGCTCCGATTGGCCGCGCGCGGCCCGTCACGCGGGAGCGCTCGCGCAGGCGCGGTGCGCGCCGAGGGCGGGGGGCGGAGGCGGCGCCGGCAGGACCCGCGCACGGCGCCTTCCCCGCGGGCCGCGCCGCGCCGAGCCATGCTGCGGGCCTGCCGCCGGGCGGGGCTCGCCGTGGCCCAGCAGGTGAGCGCCGGCGGCGGGAGCCCCGCGAGCCGCCCCCTCCGCTGTCCCCGCCGAGGCCGCGCCGGGCCGGCGGAGCGGAGTTGGGGCGGGGGGCTGAGGGGAGGGGGACCCTTTGACCGCGGCGCGGCGCGCGCTGAATGACTCGGCACACGCGCGCCGCGATTGGCCGCACCGCCTTTGACGGGCGGGCGCGGCCGCCAATGGGCGCGGGGGGCGGGTGTCGGCGGGTGGGGCGGACTGCGAGTCCCGACGTGCCTTGCGGCACCTCACCGCTGCGTACAGTGCTGCCCCGCCGCGGTGCACGCCGGGACTCGCAGTCCGCCTCGGGGGCTGCGGGCGCGCCGCAGTGCATGCCGGGGGCTGTAGTCCCGCCGCCATGGCCGCGCCGGGCCCGCCGCCCCCGCTCCGCCGAGCCGGGCCGGGGCAGAGCCTGGGGCCGCGGCGGGGCCCAGGGGGCGGTGGGGGCTCGGCGGTGCCTCGCACGGACCGCTGGCTCCGCGAGGCGGGGCGGGGCGGCGGGCGCGCTCCCCGGCGGGGAAGGACGTGACCTTGCGTTCCCCGGCGCGGCCTCCGCCTGCAGCGGTGGCACTGCAGGGAGGGCCGGGGCCGACTCGGGAGTCCCGGGGCGGGGAATGAGTAATTGGAGCGCTCGGGTGCGAGGGGGTCCTTCCGAGCGCACGCTGGGACACTGAGAGGGCACAGCACGCGGTGCCGGGGGGAAAGTGCCCGTGGGACCCGTGCGGTGTGTCCCGGACCTTTTCCTCTCCCTGTCAGCAGAGATAAGGATGGTGATGTGCTGCAGAACCCTTTTAAGGCAGTCGGCCAACTTCAGGAAGCCACGGGGGTCTGTGGCGAGGGTGGACTCCTCTACCAAGGGGACAACTTTTGTTTCATCTGCCTTCATGACTTATAAAAAGTGAGCTGATTAGGTCATTTTTATACCCTGCTCTCCAGCTCATATTCTTTACCCTCTGTTCACACAGTTCAGCAAAGCAGAAGCTGTGCATTCCCTCCTCCAGCACTGCAGCTGCCTTTCCTCGGCTGCTCCAAAAGGCTGGAGAGTCCTCGGGCCAGGTCACCTGATGCCCACTGGAATAAGGCTCCGGGTTTGCCAGGCTGTGGAAAGTTTTAGCCAGGAGCTGAGAAGACAGAAACCAGGCTTTGGCAGATGTTTATCACTTGGGGCTGTTTGCATGTGCTCAGCCTTTAACGGGATGTGTCTGGAGTGACTGTACAGCTCCGGAGCAGCCAGGGTGGTGCTTTGTGGCTGGAAGCGGGTCACGGGGCTGTGAGTGAGTGGTGGAAGAATCACAGAATAATTTGGGTTGGAAGGCACCTTAAAGATCATCTTGTTCCACCCCCTTGTCATGGGCACGGACACCTTTCACTATCCCAGGTTGCTCCAGGCCCCGTCCAACCTGTCCTTGGACACTTGCAGGGATGGGGCAGCCACAGCTTCTCTGGACAACCTGTGCCAGGGCCTCCCCACCCTCACAGGGAAGAATTTCTTCCAGAGAACTGAGCAAGCACAGAGATGCCACAGCACTCTGTGAAGTTTGTTGTCCGTACCTTTACCAATTGTTTCCTTACTTAAAAAAAACCCACAATTTTTCCTTTATCCCTACTCATATTTCCTGATGAGATTGAGTGCAATAGAGGTCTAGTTTGGACAGCAAAAACGGTCATGCAGTGTCATAATTTTTTGTACATTTTGCTTCTTTTTATTCATGTTGAAGGGAAGTTTTGTTCCATACTGTAGCACATACACATGGAGACTGTTTCAGGTCCTGTGGACTTTCTTTTTGTTTCTTTTCGGGTACCAAAAAGAGACAGAAACTTGAAATGAGAAACCAGTGCTTAATTATAGTGCTTGTGTTGCAAGAGGAGCAGAGCTGGGGACTCTAATCAAGAAGGGCTCACCTGATCTGAGATGATAACAGGTAGATTTTCCACAGCAGTGAAAGCTCCTATCATGAAAATAAGACCCCTCTGGCTATTGACATCTCTGTTATATTTAAGCTGACAGTGAGGCAGGTCTGCCTCTCTTTTGGGATGTTCAGATTCTTTTTAACAGGTTAAAAACCCCAGTTGTCTGAGGAGAGCTGGACGTGGTCAGGACTCTGGGGTAACAGGTGCCTGATGATGCTCAGTGGCTTGAGCAGCCTGGGGGAGCCTGGAAGCAGAGCGTGGCTGGATGGGAGTAGCAAAGCAGCTGCTGCTCCCCAAAACCAGAGCAGCATGAGGGTCTGAGTATGAAAAATCCCAGCAGGGAACTCACAGTGAAGAGTGGGAAAACTCCTGTCCTTCTCTCTTACTCTGTGTGCCAGGGATCACTGAGCTTGTTAACAAAAAAATTGAAGTTGTGGCTTTGAGAGAAGTTGTTCTTCGTACCTTGATTCAATAAATGTTTGATGCTGCGTGTGCAGTGCTGCAGAGGGAGTCGTCTTCTCTCATTTGAAGTGTTTTTGCAGTTGTCTTTGAAAAGAAACAGGGCTTTTAGTAAAAGTGTGTGATGTGTAGTAGAAGTCTTGAATGATGGGAAATCAGCGTTCCGTGGTCGGATGTCCTTGTTACACCTGACCTCTGTCATAACAAGAACAACCTTCCCCTGAAGTTTCTGGTTTGGTGATTAAATAGTAGATAATGAGGGTAAAATAATAAGCATTTAAGAAGTTGGGTGAAACAAATACAACGTAGAACTGCTGGAGGAGGAGGAAGGATTAGAAACAGCTGCCCCTGCAGTGCCCTTGCTGTGGGGATCTGTGCTGTCTCCATGCTGCCTCATCCAGAGGTTTCTCTCTGTCTTCTGCATGACAGCAAATGGTTTATTTCTGCCTTTTACACAGCATAGCAAAGCACGTGTGATGTATTTCTTCCAAATCCTTTGAGGCATTATTAGTAAATAAATAGCAGGGGTTCTAAAAATTGACAAACTCCTGGGAATTATGCAAAGGGGAGATTGGAAACTACCTGCAAGTTTCCGAATTATGGTGATACAGCAAATAAAACCAGTATTGTGATTGCCAAAAGGGTGCAAGGCTTCTTTAAAAAAATTGTTTTTAAAAAATCAGTGATTTTTTTTTTAAGGCAGTAGTGTACTTGGGTGTATTTCGATGTGAGGGAGGACAATCAAACTTGTGTTTCTGTTCATAAAACATTGATACCTACAGACTTTTGGTTGTTGTTCCACTGGCCAGCTGTGGGAATTTGTTGCAAAATCTTGAAAGAAAGTTGGTGGGGGCTTGTTTTGGGTTTAGTTGTCACTCCCATTGCTACACGTGTGAGAGTCAGTGCCATACACCGAGGGCCTGTTTAGTTCCTCTCACCTTGACGAAAAACAAATAAAAATGAGGATTTGTCTAATCCTGGAACAGCCTGGCCTGGAAGGGACCTTACAAGGTCATCTGGTCCAAAGAGCATCTGGACTAAAAATCAATAATCCCACTGAAAAAACCCTCCTGGTGTACAAAGTGTAAATGCTGAGCTACGGGAAGCGAACGTTCTCCTGGCTCCCTGAGCACAGCCCGGTCCCAGGAGCAGGAACAGATGTGTTTGCTGAGGGTGTAGAACTAAATGTTGTTTGCCATCCCTTGGTGTGAGTAGAGGTTCAGCCAACACGGACAACCCAGGCTCTAGGGTTATGGCTGTGGGAGCCTCCAGGATCACCAGGAAGGCAGGTCCAGCCGGAGCAGGGAGGTGGGAGTGACAGTGGTGCAGGGTGGGATAACCTGCAGAAAGCCTGGCCAAGAGCTCGGGAGTGATGGCTTATTTCCAGGTGAGCACGAGGCAAAATAGGGTAATCCCAAAGTGTTGGAAGGGATTGGAAATTCAGTCTGAACTGATCAATAGAAAGTCACTTTATTTTTCCCTTCTCATTTCGCTGGGTTGAGCTGTCTGTGTGATGCTGAAATATTCATGGTGTAATAGGGACGTACGGAGAGTCAGGACCGTGTTCAGCACTTGATAACAAAATTATTTACAGGGCTTTTCTTGGTGAAATTCCCCTTGAAAGGACCAGTGAAGCCTCAGGAAATGCCTCTAGGGCAGTCAAGTCAGATAATTAACAACATTACAGAAGATATTTATTATTTTGCCCCCTGTTTTATCCATCACAAACCAGAAGACCAACCATGGAGTACAGAGGAGGCTCCTGAAGGTCTCAGGGGCAAGAGGAGCACATTTCCTCTTGCTGTACTCGTTACTAATTAAAAATGTTTTGGCTGCCTTTCTGGAAAGAATAAGAATTCAGTGTTCCTGCCTTTTCCTGTCTACACTTTTGGACAAGGATGGGACCTAAACCACAGAGTTGTGCCCGCTGTTGCCATGTGCGAAAGGAAATAGAGAAACTTGGCTTCTGGGGTTATGTTGTAGTGAAGGATCTCCCATTTTTTTTCTTTTCTAAAGAGAAAATTCCCAGTTGAGCGAAATATCTCAACTGTGGGAAAAGTTCTTTTTGTGCCTTGTGCTTTGGTTTCTCGTGAGTCCTGTATTTCTCTGTTAGTAATTCCCATGTGGGGAAATAAAACCTCTCAGGGGGACAGCTTGTTTCCTTCTGAAGGCTCAGAGTAGCTTAGCCAGTCCTTCTGGTAAATCCGAATTTCCAGCTCAAATACGAAGAAGATAAAAATCTTGGGTAGTGTGGCATTTGTAAAGTAGAACTTAATGAAATGTCACTCTTCATGTACTAATTTAATTTCTGTTATAATCCGATGTCTGTCTGGAAAGTATGTGCATTGTTAATTCTTTCAAAGGAGAAGTCTTGGTGTGGAAGCTCGGGGAGAATTGCTTGTGTGTCTTCAGAATTAAAAATAGTTTAAATGAAGTGTTAAATATAGTTTTTAATATTTTTTTTAAGTATCTAAACAGCTGCTGTTGTCTCCTGCATTTCTCCCACCGAACTGTTCTAATGCAGGGAGGTTGTTAAAGAGAGTCTGAACTAACTGGGGGCAGGGAGCAT